TGTGGGAACCAAATATTATGTAGATAAGAAATCATGGATTACATTGCTTGAGGCAATACCAATTCAATACACGACTGAATTGGTTAATAGAGTTTGTTGTTGCTTCGATACTCAAAGAATATTTATGATTGTAGGAATTTGAATAAAAATTTAATATAAAGTAATTTTAGGTTAATGTGAATTTTAATTAGATTTTTTTATTTATTTTAAAGCTAATGTGTCAAAATTGTAGATGCTGATGTGTCAAGACTGTAAGATACAATTCAATTTTTATATAATAAATAGTTATAAAACTAAAACATCCACAATGAAAAAATCACAAGTTAATGTTCTTTTTTTAATCATTTCATATATTTTACCGTGACTGGTATATATTAAGTGAACTAATGTTTTTAATATGTGATAACGTGAAACAATGCTACTACGTTGTTTTTGTTCATGTAATACTAATAGTGCTACCATATGTTGTTTTTCTTCATGTAATACCAAGAGCATGTGCAATGGTTGCTTCTATAGTTTACTCTAAAAATAGAGATCTCTAAAAACAGAGAAGGGGTTTACTGCAATGATTACCTCTATATCTGACTCTAAATATTACTATTAATTGGTTATCAGACATTCTACTTTTAAAAGTTTTTTTAAAATCTTTTTATTTTAATTTTAACAATAATTCAACATAATTTTATTTTTATATTTTTATTTATTATAAAATACTATTACACCACATAAACTGAAAAACTAATAAATAATACATATTTTAAACATCACCATTAGTATACTTCTCCCACAAATGATCAATTAACGCATTTCGAAGTGAGAAATAAACTTCTTTATCTTTGATTTGTCTATATTGACAAAGAAATTCTTAAAATCGGATATTTTCATCTGTAGCTATTTCAATTTCTGGAGGTGGAGCTTCTCTTTCAACTTCAATTGCTGCATTCTGATCACGCTCATCATCGATTATCATATTATGTAATATTATACATGTATTCATTATGTCATGTATCACATTTTTCCCAAAACGAGCTGGACCTTTCACAATTGCAAAACATGATTGGAGAACTCTGAAGGCACGCTCAACATCTTTTCTACATGCTTCTTGTTGTGTAGCAAAATATTTTTTCTTAGGGCCCCTTGGTTCATGAATAGTCTGCACTATGGTTGACCATTTTGGATATATACCATCAGCCAAATAATAACTCATATTATATTATTTTCCTTGTATGACATAATGTCAAGGAGGAGCAATACCTTGAGCGATGTTGGAGTAAAGATGAGAAGACTCCAACACATTGATATCATTATTGGTGCCTGGCATTCCAAAATATGCATGCCATATCCAAAGATCATAATCTGCTACAGCTTCAAGAATTATAGTTGGTGATCCACTACGTCCCGCATATTGCCCATACGGTAGGACAATTTTTCCACTTCTAGTGCATGCAATCTAAGCTACCAAGCATCTCTGGAAAACCCCGTTTTTCACCAATATAAAGAAGTCTGGCAACATCATTAGCCGTTGGTGATCGTAAATATTGCTCTGAAAAAATATGCACTATAGCTAGACAAAATCTTTTTCATGCTTTCGAGTGCCGTTGATTCGCCAATCTTAACATATTCGTCTATGGCATCCGCTGGCAAACCATACGCTAGCATCCGTAAAACAGATGTTCCTTTCGGAAGGGATGATAATCCAAGTCTATCAGTTGTATCTCTCTTTTGAGTGAAGTAGTTGTCATGATTTTCAACTGCGTTAATAATACGAAGGAATAGGGAAAGAGACATAAGATACCTTCTACGAAACATAGCATCATTATACAATGGAGTTTCAGAGAAGTAGTCATTGAACAATCTGTCATGTGCACTTTCCCGATCTCGGTGGATAAAATTACATCTTCGAACCGAGCTGTCATGGGCCACATCGTTGCTTTGTTGATTGAGAAAGCATTGGATGATTGCGTTGTTATTAGCGATAGTAAGATGTATTGCTTGTTCTGCATTGTCGAGACTGTTGATTGTTTCCATATTGTCATAATTATCTGAAGAAGATGATGAAGAATATAAATTTGGGAGATTAAAATTCATTTTGAGAGAAATATTTAGAATGAGTAAGGTAAAAAGTTAAGAGATTGTGATGACTAACATGAAGTTGCAGTGGTATTTATAGATGATAAATTGATTTTTTTTTTATTTTTTCTACGTTTTTTCTAGCTAATCTAAGAGAATCAGTAGAAAAAATGTGTACATGTGGGTTTGCATTTAATAAAATGTGATATTTTGTATTATTGAAAGAAAAAATTATGGACCCTTCTTTATTATGTGTAGTTGAGTTGATATAAATATGAGAATTTTGTTATGATATTCTACTAGTCCTATCTGTGAGAATTAAATGATATCTGTGTAGTTGGATTGTCATCTAAAATATCTAAAAATTTAATTTAAAGTTTTTATGTAGTTGGAATGATGAATGTGAGAATTAATTGTGAAGTGTTTCTAGTCAAAGTTTTTCTACGTAGTTGAATTGTTAAGTCCATATAAAACATGTAAAAAATTAATATAAAGTTATATGTGTAGTTGGATTGATAATTATAAGAGTTTATTGTGATGTAGTTCAAAACGTGAGAATCTTGGAATCACTTCATCAACATCTATAAATAACCTCATGGATTTTTATTTCTATTCACATCATTCCATAAATTTTGATACACATTTTCTTCTTACTTTTTAGCAAAAATGTCTCGTTGTGCTGGGTATTCTAAAGAAGAAGATAAATTTTTATGTCAAGTGTATATGGAAATTTCTCAAGATCCAATAACTTGTATTTATCAAACCTCTGACCAGTTTTGGGATCGTGTGGTGGAAGCTTTAAGGGAAAATACAACTTGGAGTGAACGTACAAAAAAATCTATCCAATGTCGATTCTAAACTATTGAAAGAGCAACAAGAAAACTATATGCATTCATCAAACAATGTGAAAACAGACGTCCAAGTGGTGATTCAAGTAATGATATTGTAAGTATTAATATATTAATTTTACTTTATTTATTATTATTTGGATATTTATTTATTTTTGTTTAATATTTGTATGTAGTTCAATCAAGCTAAAGAAATGCTAATGGAAGATCCAAAATTCAAAACTGGTTGGAAATTTGATCATGTATGAAATATTATTAAGAATTTTGAAAAATTTAAAGATTGTGTCATTTCTGCTAAAAAAAGTATCAAATCCATGTGGTTTAGGATGTACATCTTCAGAGTCTGAAAATCCTACGCCGGATTCTGCTACACAACCATCTGCAGGTTTGTATTCATTTTCTGTAAACTTATGTAATGAAGATGACTTTAGTGGCAGATCTCCATCTCAACGACCACCTGGAGTGAAAAAATCCAAATTGAAAAGAAAAAATGATGATTAAGTATCAGCTGTTATCAAGACTTTGGAAGAAGGAAATAGACAACTTGTGGAAGAATTAAAGAAGACAACTGCACAAAAGTAACACCACTTGGAAATTCAATGTAGGAATTATGCATTAAAAGAACTCAAAGAAGAAAACAAAGTTTTGCTTCAAGACTTAAATTTCATACAAGATTTTAACATTGGTGCAAATGTTCAAAGTGAACAAACAAGAATCTTAAAGAAAAGAGTTGATCAACAAGCTCCTTCTACATCTTCTTCATTTGGAGAATATCTTAATAATCTTCATGGATCTAAAAGTGATTTACCAAATTATTAGATTACTAGTTTAATAAATTGTGTTAAGTTTTTTTAGTAATTAATTCACTTTTTATTTAAAATTATGTAATTTAAATTTTATTTTTAGTTATTTTATTGTATTTTTTATTTAATATATTTTGTTGTTGTAATTTAAACTTTTAAATAATTATATAATTAATTATTGCTGATATAGTTTAATTAAGTATAATATTATTTGATATTTTATTGTTTATTTATTGTTTATGTGTAAAATACAAAGATATAAAAGTTTAAAGAGTTTTGTAAATAAAAAAAAGTTTTTTTCTATAAATAGATAAATGAACAATATATCTCTATATAGAGTAAAATATAGAGTACCAATGCATATGATTTTACTCTAAAAATTGAGTTTAGAGACAAAAATAGAGTACTATTACAGATGCTCTAATAGTATTATCATTTGTTATACTGTTTTTTTCTTTCTAAAGATCTATTGGGCTTCATTAAAAACTAATAAGTTTCTTTCTCTTCGCCAATGATTATCCCAAAAATGTTGTGAGGAGACCCAAACAAATCCAGAATTCCATTTGACCAAGAAATCGTTGGCTTTAGACTTCGAGTTCCTAGGCGAACTCGATCCATCTGTCAAGGTAAGGAATATTTTCGATCGCCTACATAACTGGAAAATTCATCATCTTGTTTAAGTATCCCAAAAATGTTTCTAGGCTTTTTTTTAAGCCCAAACAAAATTTAGAAACACAATATAATTCTTCTCGTTTAATATTGTGTAGCGTTGGCCAGCAACAAAATGGACATGGTTTTTTTTATCGTTATCGTCCATCAGGCCCATCATTCATAACAATGAAGTCAACTCGAGATTCCCTTGTTAGCTGATCTACGACCATCCTAGTGTTGTGAAGTATCTGTTTTCATTTGCAGCACGAATGGAATAGTCGGAAATTTCATAATATCAACTATCAAGATCTATCATATCCAAAAATTTATTACTGATGTTCAGATTCTCGAATATCCACAAATATTCAGATGCAATCTAGATCCACGAAAAATAGTTAAATATAATTTAAAAAGTATTAAAAATCGATAAAACTAATAAATAACTAAATTATTTAAAAAAAAGTGGTAAGCATCATCTAGAAAAATTTAAATGATTTTATAAATAACGTCAAACAAGAAAAATGATTTTATAAATATTTTATAACATATTTCTAATTGACACAATACCCAATTTTTATTTTAAATAGCACAAAAAGAAACAGTAGTCCTTACGTAGTACATAAAATGATAAAATAAAAAAAAGTTTATATTATTAAAAAAACCAACATAAACATAACTGGTTTATGCATGTCATCAGGTCACTCATAGACTCATAGTTAGAGTGACACAGTCTTATTTAATGTAAATTAAAACATACACGAAATTGTAAATACACCCACAATTAATCACCTAGGAGTTTTGGTAGATTAACAAGGGAAATAGCATATGCACTTGTGAGCTGGGAAGACATAGTTGCAAGATCCATGTCGTGCTTTCTCTAGGTTAATGCACTGATTTTTGCATGCGTTATTGTTTCCACAGACTCCTGACCATGTCCCACTTGGCCTCTCGCACAACTTTTGTGCTTCCACCATTGTTGGTCCTTCTGCATAAACATATATCTCACAAGGTTAATTACTAATTAATCATTAAAAAAATAATCTGAAAAAAGCAAATTGATTGCTCATTTCGCGATAAGATCATTACTCACCAAAAACAGCAAAGAGAACAAGGGCAGCGAAGAGAAGGGTGATGATGGAAGCAAACTTAGCCATAACTATTACTTTTGTCTTTGAATGTATGTCTATATGTATGTGAAGTGTGAGGAAATAAGCATAATATCGACATCTATTTATAGTGAAATGATGGTGAGTTTAGTCTTTTACTTTTCATCGTACAATACATGTGATATAAACCCCAAAAATTAAACACAGACTGTCTGTATACAACGTTATAACGTACGAAAGTAGCAAAGAATAGAAGATAAGATATTGTTTGACTAGTTTCTTTTTGGTTTAAGATATTTTCAAAGATATTTCTTGTTTGACTAGTTCCTAGATGATGGCTGTTTTCTTAGTCACATATATCAGGCCGTCTGATGTCTCTCTATGTCTCTCTCTAATCTCTATGACTATCTAATGTAACCTAAGCGGCTGCTTTGGCTTTGAAGTCGAGTGTTACTTTTGACTTGGTCAAGGCGAATAAACCGTTCAAAGTTCGGAATGAGTGTTTGGTTTCGCATAAAAATGAATACTTTTAAATCTCGAATGGAAATGTCAAGAATATTATGGACAATCGAACAAGCTTTAATTATATACTAGATTAGGTTCCATATAAGCATGGTTTATAATTTATTATTTTATAACATGCTATCATCCTTCTCCACTAAGCATACCTGGGAATCGATCAGACCAAGAGCCTCTCGGCAACCTTGGACCGCTCACGTCTGGTTCAAAGGAGCCATCCCAAGACATGCCTTCACAATGTGGGTTATTCATGAGGATCGATTACCAACCAGAGCTCGCCTCGCCAAATGGGGACTACAAATTAATCCCTCTTGCTGCCTGTGTAATGTCTACGAGGAACATAGAGACCATCTGTATCTCAGGTGCAAGTTAGTGAGGAGCTCTCGGATCTAGCGCTCAAGAGACTTGGATATCTCCCTGTGGCTTTTCATACTTGGACTGCATTCTCATGCTGGCTTGGAATCAAGGACAATGTGTCTCCAATTCTCTTACGACGTATGGTGGCTCATGCTGTCATCTACAGTATTTGGATTGAGAGGAACAACAGGCTTTTCAACAACACATCCAGTACTCCGCAAGCTCTATTCAAGGCAATCGACCGCCTCATACACGACTCTATTCTGGCCAACAAGAGGCGTAAAGCCTTTCTCGGCCTGATGCAAGTCTGGCTGACCTACGAGTAACAATCCCAAATCCTCTAACTCGTTGTATGTTTGTTAGGTTATTCCTTGTTTTTTATTCTTTTTTTGGCAAGGTGGTTTCCTAGTTTGTATAGCTTTTTGTAAATTTTACAAACTCGGTCATTTTTTTAATGAAATTCAAATCTTTAGCAAAAAAAAACGAAAAAAACAAAACAGATCACTTGAAATAAATAAAATAGTATTAAGAATATGTAATCAGATATTCATGTAAGAGACTTTCAGTGACAATGCTCTCAAGAGTGAGTAATCGATTTATGAATGTTTGGGGGAAAACTAAGTAGGAAATTAGTAAGAGTTATTTATGATTGTTTTGATGATTTTGATTGGATAGATTATGTATGATATTTAAACAATTTTTATTGGTACCTTAACGGAAAATTTTGAATGGGCTATTTCAAATTTGCTAAACCACCCAGAGATAATGAAAAAAAGCAAAAGCCGAAATCGATACCAAAGTCGGTTAAGGCAGGTTAATTGACGAATCCAAAATCAAAAATTCTCTTATCTCCTGACTCCCGAGCATCGTATCATAGACTTCACGGATTTATCATGTAGCTCCGACACTTCTCATCCATGAGGCGTCCGAGGATTTCATGGTCGCGGGATACAATGTTCCACGTGTCATAATGTTATTGGTGAACGCATGAACCATGCATGCACATGCAGAGACCTTTAAAGGTGCGGATCAAAAGTTGATTCCGTTTGAGATCGAGAGACGAGCTTGTTCGTGGTTCGGGTTAGCTCAACGAGTAGTGAATCTGGCTCTAGGATCGTTGGTTCAATATTTTCGAGGGGTAGAGAGTTGGAAAAGCAAATGTGGACATGAAAGAAGGAAGCATGATGCACCTAGCAACACCAATGCAGTGTAGCTCAGACATTCTCGACGCTTCCTTTTGGGATTTAATCTCTAAATCTTTTCATTTGTATTCAAAACTTAATTATTTTACGTTCTTGTTTAATCCCCAACATGATTTTTCATTTCTTTTTGACGCATATTATCTTCTTGTTATTATTATTCTCAGTCCTAATATATGTGTCCAATAATGGTCGTGTTGCAGAAAAAAAATATAGACAAAAAGAAACAGTAGTACATGTACGTAGTACATAATAGTTTTATTATTACAACAAACCAACATAAACATAACTGGTACATGTCATTAGGTCAATCAAAGAGTGACACAGACTTATTTAATGTAAAGGAACACACAAGAAAATACATAAATAAACACACAATCACCAATGAGTTTCGGTAGATTAACATGGGAAATAGCAGATACACTTGTGAGCTGGGAAGACATAATTGCAAGATCCATGTCGTGCTCCCTCAAGGTTAATGCACTGGTTCTTGCACGCATTATTGTTTCCACAGACTCCTGACCATGTCCCACTTGGCTTCTGGCACAACTTCTGCGCTTCTACCATTGCTGGTGCTTCTGTATATAGTCATATACCATGGTTAATTAACCTGAAAACAAAAAAACTTACTTTGCATGCATATGATAAGATCATTACTCACCAAAAGCAGAAAAGAGAACAAGAGCAGCGAAGAGAAGAGCGCTGATGGATCCCAACTTAGCCATGACTATTAATAACTTTTGTTTTTGTTTTAATGTATGTGTGTGAAATGTGAAGTGTGAAGTGTGAGGAAATAAGCCTAAGATCACCCACTATTTATAGTGAAATGCTGGTGAGTTAGTCTTTACTTTTGCATCGAACAATAACGTGTTAACCCTCACAAATTAAACATTTAGTGTCTTCTAGTAAATATGGAAGATAAGATCTTGGCCTCTACATTGCTGATGGCTGGTTTCTCCACCACATATCTTTTACATCTGGAAGGCTGCCTCTATCTAATGTTAGCGAAGCGGCTGCTTTGGCTTTGACCCAGTGTTACATCATATTAATTGATTTGTCAAGACTCAAGGAGATAAGATCTTAACCAAGTCGACATAGTTACGCAATTTTTATTGATTTTTCAAAGATTTTCAGAGTTTGTTGCATGAGTATAGAGCTAGAAGAGGAAAATAGGATCACTATGACTAGATTACAAAACAAAATAAAGATACATATTAGCTTGGCCATTTAGTTGAGTCGTAAGCAATAAGCTCGACATTATGATATAATCCAGCTATCCCAAATTAGATTAGTATAATCAAAGCTCAAGCACCTACTCTGGCGATGCTATTGGATAAAAACATTAGGAACCAATTATGTTCGATGCGCATGGCGGGTGATCGAAGATACGAGGATGGGTTGGAAATTTGGTTCTCAACAAGGGTTTGAATAACGTGTAATAGAAGCAAATAGAATTGGGGGTCTTTTATTTGTTTATCCTTCATGAAAAAATTGTAGACAAATTTGTTTTTTTCTTTTGAATATAATTTAACATTAGATTCCAAAAAAAAAAAAAATCAAAACTGTTTAATTTTTGTGAACAAGTGGAACAATTGAACAGGATCCGAATTCAAAATGATAATTAATTTTCAATTATAGAATGGGACCTACAAATAGTTTTAGATGGACTTCATTATAATTTTTTGGAATTATGAATGCTGAGTGTCTGAATTATCTATCAATACAAAGTAATATTTTTTTTACATATCCACACTACTTCAAATCCATGTCAATTAAGTGTGCCTTTATCGTGATAGCTGAAATTAGCCAACTTTTGGACCTCCCCTATTTCTTGTCATAAAAACATGTACATTAGGGAGTTAGAGAAAGAGTTCGACTCGAGTTCATAGACAGTTTTGATTAAAAAAAAAGAAATAATGCTTATATGGGAAGGATCGGTTCATCAGGACAACCCTGAAGACCCCAGGTTCGTCCAGGTGACAAGATGTTATTGGGCGAAGGTTTTTTTTTTAATTTTCGAATTAAAAAAAAAAAAATTTAATATCTGATGAACCTCTTTAAGAGGGGTTCACCAATAGACATGCTCTAAGGTCCACTAATATCTTCTTTGCTTTATTTTACATGTTTGTGTTGGACAACAACAACATCAACACCCCTTTTATTCCAAACTAGGAAAAACCTAAAATCAAGGTCATCATATTGAATCTATTACTTTTCTTATTATCAAAAATAACTGGAGTCTTTAAATTTGAGAAAAAAAGAGTTTTCTTAGAAAAATATGAATTTTATTTTCTTAGCAAAGTAAATAAAATTCTCATATATATTAAGAAACTCTTGATGACTTGGAGGATTTCTTTAATTATAATTAATGAAATAGAATAAAATATTTGTGTTCAAAAGAACTTATTAGAAAAAGCATTTAAATTTTATAGTTTTACTGTTTTCTAGTGTAAGAGAAAAGACGCAAGAGTTTGATTTGCGAAATTTTATAAATATTATAACTTTTGAATAATCGTTAACATTTATACCATGCTGAAAATATCGTTAAACTTTCTCCACTGTAATAATTCATATCTTTTTGTAATCGTACGTCAGACTTGATGTAAAAGCACTAAAGCTGTGGTCAATCACTAAACCAGGAGACTTCCAAAAATCATTCATTCTATTTATAAATTCATTTTATTCTAAAATAGTGTTTTAATCATTCTATGTGAAATCACAAGAGCAGTAATGACGTCCCAAGTAAAATCTGACAGAAGCACACACGAATGCTTACGTATTTATTATATGATTGTGTAATATACAGTATATTATACTATGCAGCTAGTTTGCTAGGAGTGTTGGCATGAGAGAAGGGACATATAGTGACTTCTTGAAAATTACGTTGCTGACTTTCCTGAATTTCATATTGAAGTTTTGGACGACTGGGACATTTTTATATGGATAGACTTTAATGGAAATCATATACTTACGCATCGTTTTGATAGATATAAAAGTTGGGTGATAATACCAAAAAACATGACTGTACAAGTTTTCCAAATTTCCAGCAACTTGTGAGACTAGCTAGCCTTTTCACCAATCTTATAATACGTATGTTTTTTCACTTCTTGATGATAATAGTGCATATATAGCGTCCAGTCAAATCTCTTGTGAAAAATGGATAGCAGTAAACAATATAAGTTCGAAAACGTTCATAATTTATACACAAAAAAATTGCTAGGCTCGTCGGACGTATAAAATGTGTCTGAGATAAGTTCTTTGGTTTCTGTTCTAGAACATGATGTCGTACTTTTAAATGTATATATTTTCTCAACAAATGTATATAGGTATATATATGTAGACGACTAACTAAAATAAAACTAGCGACAAAAAAAGACTAATTAACTCAAATAATTCAACCTAAAATTATTTTGATAAGGGTACTTAAATATTTAGTTTAAATATACTGTTACTTAAATTTTAATTAGCTGTAATGTAAGAATCTTTACCACCACAAGTCGATTTCTTTTCTTCCCACCTCAGGATAACAAATGTTCATCTCTTAGATGTTTCAAAAAAAAAAAAAAAAACAACTCTTCCTCTCTTTTGAATTTCATTTTGGTTATAAATTTCAACCGATATAAAATAATTTATATTTTGTTTAATTTGATTCCAACGATGGATAATAAGTATTTAAAGATAAATGTGTAAGAATAATCCACTTAGATTAACAGGATATATATAAGCAGCTTTTTTTGGTATGAGATCTTCACATTAAAACCAAAGAAAAAAACTGTCTTACCATTTTGATTCATCTCACTATATATCTAATTATCTAAATATATTAGCTAAATGGATAAGTACTTTTAGCACAAAAGTTTCAATTCTAATTGCAGATTCGCACGAGATGATGGGTGCATCTGTTAATGTCAGTTAGACGGATAAGTGCCTCTAATAACCAATTATTAATCGAGCCTAATATAAAGTAAAATTGATCGTAAATTTTAATGATTACGTGGTTCATGTTGTTTGACTATTATGATAAATTGATCGATGGAAACGTCACAAGGAGTGTTGGGAAGATAAACTAAGAAAAAGATTGATTAGGAAAAGGAATGGAAAGAGGAAAGGATGTAGGGACAATATAGAACAGCTCTTATGTGGGGTTAATTAAACAGTAGTTCGGTTTGGTTTTTTCCTTAACCTAAATACCCCACGCACCATCTTTATACGCCTGTCTGTACATGCATATGCATGCATGTGTAAATAAGCCATGTAACATATATATATATATATATAACACGTTGCTGTCTATATCTTTCTATTTATTTCTTATGTATATTAACATAACATATGCAGATACTATGACATATATAAAATGGATTATATTTTAAGCTCAGGAATGATCCAAAAAGTTAGGTATGATGAATTAGTGGTTGAGCTCCGACGTCCGTCTCAGGCTAGGCATCGATGACCATACGTTGTATATATATTTGTAATCCTGAAAACCAACGAATCTATTTCGCTTTCCTAATTTCTAACGATCGAATCCAAAATTTTGGTTTATCTTCATTTCTTTGAAGGAAAAGGAGACAAGAAGAAGAAGAAGTAAAGGAAGATGATAGAGCGAAAAAAAGACGAAAGAAACTTGTATAGAAAAATTTCAAATCATTGCATCATTGTTTTCATAAATTACAACTCTCTCAGAAGTTTGAAAGAAAATGTAATCACTCCGATTGATAAGTCCAAAGTCTGCAAGAAACAATGAAACCCTTATCTCCTAATGACAAACTTACTTTTGTGCATATTTGATTAGTTACTTGTCGACTATTTTGCTAATCGTATAACATTTTGTGGTTGCTTATTTGACCACTAATGTTGATTTCTTGTTTCGTTTAGCTATCTAACTTCCTATTGGTAGGTTCGGTACTTTTTTTCTGAACATTGAGGTTAAGTTAAAGCTTGTAGGTTTGAGATCAGATGCGACGTCCCATAATCTTTAAGACAAGAACTAATTTTTTAAAACAAACCTAAAAATTGTTGTATCGACCATGGATAGACGTAGAATCTACAAGTAGTACATGAGGTTTATGTATGTGATTCTAGTTTTAAACTCATTGATAATATTGAAGTAAGTTCATAAATTGTTGTTAGGGTAAATCTCTTCTACACTTTCACTAAAGAATTTCTCACGGTCACTTAGCTATAGGGATAAAATAGGATTCGTACCCCTAACTATCAGATTTTAAAAGTTGGCATTAGATCAATTATTCTTCGATTGGAAATAATAATACCATAGCCTAGCTACTTGGCGTTGCAAGTGCATCTATTTCGCTTTTATGTTTTGCATCAAAGTAATCACAACTAGCATCATAGAACATCTGAAATCAATTATATCACTTCTCTCTTCTTCCCATGATACAAAAAAGAAAAACAAAAAATACTAACGTGTTTCTCTATAGATCTACAAGTCTAGGTAGGTCTATGTAGACACAATACGATTTTTTTTATTTTATAGGTCTCTTTACGTACTAGCGTATATAGAATATAGGAGCAAGAGTGGACCCATTCACTATCCACCTTCCCTACCTCAATGTTACTACATTTTGTGAAAAAAAAGTTTCTAACGTATTGGTTAGTTTATCCTGAACTAGGGAATTAATAAGTAGTGAAAATTATACAGTAATCGAGATCTTGATTTGGAGTATAACATGAAAGAGGAACACGATTGATAGTTATAATTTAAGATTAGCATTGGACCCATCTCATTTGGTTTACAACAAAAATAATGGACAAATCTAATACGACCATCTCCAACCCTACTACAAATTTCACTGCAAAATAGAGTTTGGAGCAAGATAATCTCCAACTCTACTTCAAATCTCACTCCAAAATGGAGTAAAAAATGAAGTTACTCTATATATGGAGCAAAAAATAGAGTTTTTTCATTTTTTTTAGTCATAACTCGATTTTGGAGTAAAAATGAAGCTTACATTGGAGTAAAATACAACTTTATTTTGGAGTTACTCTAAAATAGAAAAAAATATGGAATCATATATTGGAGATGCTCTAAGAGAAAAAAGAGATTAGATAACGATTAAGGACAAGTATGATGAATGAGAGAGAACACCTCTGCATGTCTCTCCCAAGGGGAAAAAGAAGAGTCCTTTCCTTTCTCACCTTTTTTTATTTTCTTCTCTTCACCTTTTCCGCATTGTACGCAAGCTGTAATCCTTAATTTTACATTTCCCTCTCTTAGTATATTAAAATACCTCTCGTTCTCACTATATAATTATATTTTTACCATATTATTCGAGTTTGAATTCGGATGGTAATACATGAACGACACTAACAAAAAACCATTATCTCTGTCTTGGTCTTAATCTTACTTTATAAATTTGATTCTTCTTAAGATTGTAAACATATGATTAATCTAACCGCATCTTTGTTCTACCTCTTGATGATTCTCTCGCTTAATGCAACACAAATACAGAATTACTCAACTTTGTTTTTGTTCAACGTTTTACTCCTCGATTAATATCCAAATTTTGTTGATGGATGAATCTCAGCAGAGAAAAATTAATTTTACTATCCTAAAGAGTATAGTTGGTATACCATGGTAAAGTAAATTGGAACCCACCAATACTTGGAAATCAACATTGGTTTTAAAATATCTATCTATAGTGGAAAATGAAAAAAAAAAAGAGTTAATGTATATTTTTTGTTTGGTTTAATTTAAATGAAGTGTAAGTTAATTGATCTACTTAATTTTATTTCTAAGGAGAACAATTTCTCAATGTTTCTTGAGCTTAAAGATCCCCTCTCTCTCTCTCTCAGCCTTTCTATATAAAACGAAAAAGAAGAAAACTAATACCATAAGTGGTATAGTCTAGGCCGATACATTTCACTATCTCTCTCCTTTTTATTCCTCTTATCTTTTCCATTTGATTCTCCGACTCACACAATGGGTTTTGAGATCCCAAGGTCTCAATTATGATGGCTTCGAGACAAAGAATGGTAAGAAGAAACTAAAGAGAAACGACCAAAGCTTAAGCAAACAGTGTCTTGTCTTCTGTTGAAAAACAGAAGAAAATGTCTTGTAATAATGGAATGTCTTTTTTCCCTTCAAATTTCATGATCCAAACCTCTTACGAAGACGATCATCCTCACCAATCTCCATCTCTTGCACCTCTACTTCCTTCTTGCTCACTACCTCAAGATCTCCATGGTAAATAAATATACTTATAAATACATACACACACATTTGCTCATTTTCTCCTCTGTTTTCTAAAGCTCTGTTTTGCTCTGTTTTCAGGATTTGCTTCGTTTCTAGGTAAGAGGTCTCCAATAGAAGGGTGCTGCGATTTAGAAATGGGGAACAATATGAACGGAGAAGAGGATTATTCAGATGATGGGTCTCAGATGGGAGAGAAGAAGAGGAGATTGAACATGGAGCAAGTGAAGACATTGGAGAAGAATTTCGAGCTTGGAAACAAACTTGAACCAGAGAGGAAAATGCAGCTGGCTCGTGCCTTGGGTTTGCAGCCAAGACAGATCGCGATTTGGTTTCAGAACAGAAGAGCTCGCTGGAAAACAAAGCAGCTTGAGAAAGATTATGATACGCTTAAACGACAATTCGATGCACTTAAAGCTGAAAACGATCTTCTTCAAACTCACAATCAGAAACTCCAAGCTGAGGTACTAATCTCGTAATTTTTTTTTTAATATTTAAATTCAATTATTCTCTATTTCTCTGTGTTCATTTTCACTGGTTTAAAAGATTGAATCTCTTAGTTTCTCTTCTCTCTGAAGATGTGAAAGGTCATTTTTTTTTGGTTAATAATCTTATAATCTCGCCAGGGTTGAAAGATTGAACTTTTTTCGTTTCTTTTCTTTCTGAAAATGTGAAAGATTTTTTTGGTTTTGTTAATAATATCATAATTTGGCCAGGGTTAAATTTTGAATTCTTTTAAGTTTCTTCTTTTTTTTCTGAAAATGTGGGAGATCAAGCTTTCTTTGTTAATGATAATCATAATTTTGGTAGGGTAAAAGATGACTTCTTTTTTTCTTTCTGAAAGAGGTTAAAGATTTAGTTTTTATTTAGTTTTGATAATAATTATTGGGATCAGGAGTTGCTTTCAAGTAGGGTTAATAAACTCGACATGATTCATGACTTTTTTAAACATCATTATCTTTAGTTTTCTTTCTCCTTGTCTAAAAACAGAGATCTGAAAACAATCGTTTTCTCATGCTTATCACATTATACAGTACTCTGTTTATTTTTTTTCTTTCAAAATTCGAGTCTAATTATTCGAAAAAAATATGTTTTGAAAATTTTGCAGATAATGGGATTAAAAAACAGAGAACAAACAGAATCAATAAATCTGAACAAAGAAACAGAAGGATCTTGCAGTAATAGAAGTGATAACAGCTCCGATAATCTCAGACTTGACATCTCAACGGCGCCGCCATCAATCGACAGCACAATAACCGGAAGCCAACCACCACCGCCGGAGACAATCGGTAGACACTTCTTCCCGCCGTCTCCAGCCACCGGAACAACGACGACGATGACGACGATGCAATTCTTCCAAAACTCGTCTTCAGGACAGAGTATGGTTAAAGAAGAGAACAGTATCAGTAACATGTTCTGCGCATTGGATGACCACTCTGGTTTTTGGCCATGGCTTGATCAGCAACAGTACAATTAAAATTGGTCGAACTGTTTTGTTTTTATTTATATATATATATATATATATATATATTTGTTATGAATTTTGATCAAAAGAACCCATGCATGTTTTCAAAATTGGAATCTATCATCAGCTCACTTTGAAATCTGCAACCAAACAACATCGAGTTTTTTTCTTCCTATTTTTAAGTAATGAGATGTAAGAAGGGTAAAAAATTCACCTTATTATATATATATATATATATATAAATATATCATTACAGCCCAACATTTTATTTTATGACTAATATATAAGAAATTGTATATTATATTGTTTAGTCGTGGGTACTGGGCTACTGGCACCATGTGGTCGTAGTCGTCATTTTCAGAAGTGGGAAGAAATAAATGGAATACACAATGAAAAGGACATTTTCCATGTAGCAAATTATTATTTTTGTTTAAATCCATGAAATAAATTCTGCATATGTCATGATTTGGTCGAGCGGGTTAAAAGGCCCAAAAAAAATGATGGGACAAAATCTAAAGGAGTTAATTTTGTAATCAGGAGACCTTACAAAAGACGTACGATATTATCAGACCAGACCATCAATTTCATAACCCTCGCTTTTTAGTTTTTTTTTTCCCTTCCAGTGACTATTAGTAATTTAATCGCGTGCTTCAGAAAAAAAAAGTTGCATACCTTTAGCCTTTAACCCAAAAAATGGCATCATTTATCCGTATCCGCATCATTTTAATTGTACGAGCTGTTGTTGACCATGCGTTATTAATCTTGGGTTTCAGGAAGTTTGCTTTTATGGCTTAATATTGTTAGGTGACTAGAGTTTTTTTTTTTTTTTTTGGCTAAAGGAGGTGACTAGAGTTTTCTACTTAGATGCTAACTTTTCGAAGCTCCTTGGCATCCTATAGGATAAATCTTCTAGAATTTTTTTTTTTTTGTTAATGTCGCTTTAAAATTTCGTATATATATAAGATTATTACCCCACTGAAAACTACTATAATGGCAATAGTTGAACAGAAAAAGTTGGGTTAATTTTTAAAGAGCGAAAATTTAGAAGTGGAGTATGTGTAATTGTAAATATGTGTAAATTCTACAAAATTGTTATTCATTCTCGCACATATTTATTTATTTTTGTGATGACACATAAATATTGCTATTATATTAAATCTACATGTTATCGGATAACATAATGTGTTATCATGTAAAACACCACTAGTTTAGACACGAGACATTGTGTTGTCAGACAAAATAATGTGTCATTAGATATAGTAGTGGTTTATCGAATAAAATTAACATGTTATCAAATAAAATAACATGTTATGTGTTTATATTACACACAAAACTATAACCATTATAGTTTTAGCATCATAATTTTATCCTAAAATTATAACAGTTTGCAGATAAACTCCTAAAAACTGTCTACTAGTGCATTGTAAATTCTTGTTTTGTTAGCACAATCCCATTTCATAAAACGAATCTCCTCAATTTATAGTTCTTTAGGATAATATGTGAATTTAGTACAAGAGATTATAAATGTGACAGAGTGAGGGAAGACTAGGAAGTTGCAAGAGACATAGGCACACACAGATTCCAAGAGAAATAGAGGAAACGGACAAATAGGAGTTGGAAGAAAGCAAGCAAACAATTTGGGGTTGGAAAGTTGTCACTCTCCTTTTTAATCGACTATTCCCCTTTTAACCCCTTTTCATCTTCCACATTCAAATGGCCGACACTTTTAAACTTTTCGAAATTTCTTAAAGATATCGATTATCTTTTCATGATAAAATTTCAAATTTTCACTGCCTATATATAAATATATGTATATTTAAAACAAAATTTGAACCAATCATTTGAATTACATATTTTTGTTTAGTACTATAAATGATGTAAGAAATAGCATGTTCGAAACTTAGACGATAGCGACAAAAGAAAACGAGGAAAAAAATTGTAAAATAAAAGTTGTTTGGGACTGAAGGCTGTGGAGAGACTAAGGCCAACATTGCTTTTAGCGACGTTGATGCAAAAAATTTGGTTGCCATAAATATGAGCGGTTGTAGGTCCATACATAATTTACATTGTTTCTAATATTTTCTTCTAAAAAGTAGTGTTGTGAAAGCGGAGTTTTCGACCTTTTCAAATTCAAACTTATTAAGGTGTCGCTAACTACGGAATCTCGAAGATGACTAAAACCAAATGACATGTTAGAAACTTTGAATGATCCCCCTTTTCCAAAGATCATGAGTTATACTGTCTAAAGAGAAAAGATTGATAAAGTTTTATAATCTCTGTTGGCAAGAGATTAAGGATCTAAACCTGGTATATCTTGGCTCCCAAAAGAATATATCCAGATACTTGTTGTTAACCAAAAAAAAATAATAATGGTAGAACTCTATTTTTCGAATAACTTGGTTTATCAGTATGAATTTAGAGACTATGGTATATGTAAGAGTTTCAACACTCTGTAGTCTCCAACATGGTTGATCATAAGGATTTTAAGATAAAAATAAAACGAAAATGAGTTGTTGCGACCCACTAGAATCACCCACTTCGTTTCTATAAGTACAAGTTTCTTTTAGCTAACCTTTTTTGAGTTGCTTTGCTTCTTTGGTTAATGGACCCTTTGTAAACTTGGATGCTTCAACTACAATTAAATGTACTACTATGAATGCAGTTCCTTGTGTGGATCTCTATATCATAGAATCGTGCAGTAAAGTATTCCTTGAGTTATACACGTAATTTGATACGTAAATTTAAAATTTCTCAGTTCAAAGCTCTTTTGCGTGATAACAATTTGTCTTTTTTGATAGAATACGACTCCACTACTTAGATATTGCGTATATATATACATACTTTACAAAGGTTTTACTTAATGTGATTTCAAGAAATTGTTTAAATTAAAGGACCATAAGCCTATATATCATGAAGATGTGGGAAGTGGGAACTAATTAGACAAACGTGAGTGAAAACATTGCAAGTTTTCTCTTTTCCAAATATAGTTTTCCCTTTTCTTCATATTTTTTTTTAATATTTGAATCTTCAACTTCTAAATCAAATTGAAGACTTCGTGTAGACAAGAGTTGTGTGGACACAAAACTCAGGGGTCAAATCCATCAATTACGTTCAGAAATGTAATTATATCGACACGACACTTATTCGTACAAATCATCTTCGGTGGTTATATATTTAGGAATTCACAACGTATCCTTACAATCGAGGATCAAACTGAAGCAACATATCTCTAGGACATGCTACGTCCAATTAAAAGTCTTAAACTAATTCAGATGACAGTGATGATCTTTACGTCCAATGAAAGTCAACTTCTATGACATTACTACCACAACGTTAAGTATTTCATATACTGATTATAGCTATTTAAAATGTATTGATAATTGATTTTTTTAAAAGAGATGATAAATAATGTAACTTTTTGACGATTACAAATTAGCGTCTATCAAATTGGATAATTTTACAATAGTTAAAATATTGATAATTGACTCGAAGGAGATAGATTGATAGTTTAAAGGAGGGTTAAAAATTAGAAGAATTTATACGGAAGAAGCAAGCATGTGACAGAATCTGAAACCCTAGAAGATGTCACAATATATAAAAAATGAAGATAAGTTGATGAGAGAGATCAGGCTTGTAAAGTGCGCCATTATGCATTAATTCATGAAAGAATCTTTATGGGATCATGTGCATTTCCTTAATCTAATCTTTTGCAGCTTTGATGGATATTTATTCCTCATTATTTATAATCTCTTTTAAAAATATTAGTACTTAATTATTTATTTGGCATTTTTGGTGACAGTGCATCGGATGCCAACATGCAATTTTCAACTATTTTATATAATTATAGTGTGGCTACAACCAAACAAAGAATTACCCGTAAAGAAGAGCTGGCTGTGTGTCCATGTGCTTGCTGCTTCAATTCCCTTATTAACTACTCAGTTCCAGTGGAAAAATGGCTCGGAAGAATATCAACTAAAAGTAGATAAGATCACGATGTATTGTTTATAATTCTATAGGCTTTTAGACAACATTCAATCTGTTATTAATCGATTTTATCATTTCGTTTTTTACACTGTTATAAATATATTCGAAAACCATATATGTTCTATATATATGAGACGTTGAGTTATATGATATTTCCTCAAAATAAAATGTCAAAAAATTAATTACTCTATTTGTATATAAACGTATTTTTTTAATAAAGGCTATTTTTTCTTCTAAATCTATTGTATTCACTTCTTGATGGCCCCTGGTTTCTTAACTTAAAAAAGGCTAGTTTAATGTTAACTTGGTCGATACGTATATAATGGGAAGTACGTATAATATTTATGGGCATAAATTTATCTACTGAAATACAACACTATATAGTATAAAAATGTTTGTAATGTATATAAGTTATGAAAAATATGAGGAAGACGATATCTAGATATTATTATTTTTCTCTTCTTTAATGTTATCAGTGAGAATAAATTATAGTGATAAAAGGAAAAAGGAGAGATGGGATGCATGTGACTGGCAATGACATGAAGGATAGTGGTTCGATGTTTTGCACTTTGTTTAAGTGTTAGCAAACGATCTTTCGTTGCCATTTCACGTTGCCACATATATTTATAATTTTCAATATTTTTCATTTATTTTGTCAACGGTCGAATTACGGTGTATTTTGATACACTACACACATACATATATAACACCAAAACTCAAGTTAGACTTTGGGACCGACTTTCGTGAGGGATCTTCTTACTGAGTATGGAGAATAATTAGAAAACACAAATTCTATATATTGCCAAAAACAAGGTCGAGACTAATGCTTTGTGGATGGAGGCATGCATAAATGTATATGTGTATGACTTTGACACGTCTATAAATTTTTTTGTTTTTGATGTGCAATATAACTCTGATAGTGATACTAACATTTGAACTCTCAATCCGGCATGATTGACTCGAAGCAAAGAATATCAAATCGTTAATGATTTTATATATCTATATCATAATTCATAAATTAGTCTTAGAGTGCTTCGAAGGTTTGATTCCATTCAAATGGCTAGCTTAGACCATAAACACTGAATAGTTGCAGAAAAAAAAAAGAATATCCGGAACGCAAGATGACCTGATTATCAATTAAAAAGTTGGTGTTGTATATCTAAACAAAAAAAAAGGGGATGAATTACGGTGGAAAACAACCACTAAACTCTATATCATGGTAGTAACTCTGTATACTCAAAGTCTCAAACATATAATATATTCATAGCAGTATAGCACACATATATAAATGCATAATACGTAGATATAAATTACATGTAACGTTAATAGTGCTGCGTTTATACAAGACTTCAACTAAAGTATTGTAAATTTAAGGCGTGAATGCAAACTCAGTTCATTTGTGATGAATGATGATCCTTTGGGTTTACTATTAATAAATATTTTGAATATTCAAATTTGTGGGTTCATGTTTGAATGAAAAAAAAAAAAAAAATTAAAACAGCAATTGAAGCTTATTAATTAAAGGGAACACTTTCGGTACCACGTTGTTCGGACTACATGGGCTTTTAAATGTATATATGTAGGCACTATTGGGCCGGGCAATGTTTTCTTTCATACCCATATAGCTCGCAAATCTCTCTTGATGGTTTTTCTTTTTTGCTGAATTTTTTCACTATCCACCATCGTTTGAATTTTGAAACTGAAGTTATTGCCCTGTCTAGCAACCTTTTTAAAGTGATGCGTGTCCGTGAAATACTACAAATTATTAGGTGGGTAATAAATATGTGGTGGATGCTGAATAGCATATGGTTCGCATTCGAAAACTTGGTATGCTCGGTCATACATCGTGGGTCAATAAACTGATTGACTCTTGAGTGGAGGAATACCTTAATGAGATCTTTTTCACCCGAATAAATCCTCACATTTTCTTGAGCCATCTTTGTACAGAACAAAAGATAAGAAGTTCTGAATATTGAGAATATATGTCAATACATGTAAGGGTCTATATTGTAATTATGTTTTCCTTAATCACTTTCTTGTATGACTATGAATACTTTGTAAAAGCAGTCTAATAAAATATTACTTTCAACGTCTATAATTATATCATAGCCAATGCAAAACGTTCCTAAAAATCCTAAATTTTTTTTTTCTCAATCATTAGCCACATGCTTCACACCGCTATTGACAAACTCAACCGATGACATTCCACTCGAGAACAACAATTCTCGTTAAAAAACTCACAAGTACGAACTACTTAATGTAAAGTCTATAAACCCATGCTAATGGCTATGCCGTTGCTGGTCATTTTGGAGATACCATCCGAAATTTCATCTCTAAAAACACTGCTTTAACTTCGCTCCAGTCAATGGTCACCCATACCAAAACTGCATATAACATTTAGGAGAAATTGGCTGCAACATATGCTGAGCTTACTCATGGCCATATCCAGCAACTCATGGACATATCCAGCAAATCAAAGCACAAGTCATATCTACACAAAAGGCAACAAATCGATTGATGTATAGTTTTTGGACATGATGACAAAACTGGATCACTTACAATTCTCAGTAAACTTTTTAATCTTCAAGATCAAATTGACTTCATACTTACAGGCTTTCCAAATGATTACAAGGAGACGAAGAATGATAACAAATTAACGTATTGAAAGTCTATACTAAAGATGAAAACATTTTCATGAAAAGAAAGAACAATCAAAAAAGAAAAGAAAAAAGTATGATGTGCAATTTTAGGATAAAAAAAAGCTTTGGTTACTGTAATTAATCATTTTGGAATGGTAATGGACTTAAACTCACTTCAAATTTCAACAACTTTTCATTGTAAATTCTTCTAATTAACTTTCTCAATTCTTTAATTTTACAATAGGATGGATGATTTCAAAGCAGATCGACTCCTCCTCTCTATTCATTAGTTAGAGAATAATCGGCATACTCTGAAAAAATCTTTCACCCTATAATAAAAGACTTTCATTGAAAACAAATTATATTATGTTTAATATGGGACTGGGAGTTATTCAAATTTAGAAGAAAAATAAAATAATTATTTTATTTTGGAAGAAAAATATAATAATTATTTTATTTTAATATTTAATACAAATGATAAGAAATCGTAATATACCCTTGCATATATATATTCTAGTTGCTAAATATAAATTCGTAAAAGCAATTTATAAAAATGTTATGAACCCGGTTGAACTGGGTTGACCCATGATCCAATTAACTTTCCGGTTCATTCGGTCCGATTTTTAAAACACTTCAGGTTTTCTTCATCCTCCCAGCTATAATTACCATGTACTCGAATACATCAAATAATTACTTTGCTAGAAAATTCAAAATTTTATGGGAGTATGATTATTAGATAACTTTGGGAGAAGGAAAAGGCAATATTATAGAAAGTGCAGCAGACCAAACTCGTGCAAGGTGGTGGACACGTCTTTGGTGTTGACCAACGACAACGACAGACAAAGATTTTTCATCATAAAATCCTTTCCTTGTCTTTATCTTTCTTTTAATTCATTATCTTCTGTTTCTTCTCATAATTTTATCTGTTTTTTCCCCTTCTGTTCTTCATCAGGGATCCATAAAGATTCAACTCTTATTGCCTAATCGGACAAGAAACCTCGATTTCAATTTTATTAAACAATTCACCGTTTCTTTTCGTGATTTCTCTAATGGGTAATTGCTTAAATTCTCCTGCAAGAGTAGATAACAGAGAAAGCTCTTTTGGAGGTATGAGACAAAACCCCACTTCTTCTTTTCCTTCCTTGTCTCTCTCGACTTTTGAGTTAATAAAATGAAATTATGATGTGTAGTTGATCCTAGGTTTCTTTAACTCCCCATCGAGATGGTTAGCCTAAACTGAGATGAAATAAATACTCTGTTTTTGTTAAAAAAAAATACTCTGTTCTTTTTTTTGAGTACCTTTACTTAATTAAACTTCCTTCAAATTTTCATTTGATTCCCAATCAAGATTTCGTCTAATTGATTATACTTTATGGTGGTGTCCAATTTAACAACAGGGTCATCGAGAATAACCCCTAAACCGAGTAAACCATCTCGGCTTTCAAGCCTTACAATACCCTCTTACAACAACAGAAGCTTCACTAGTTCATGGTCAAGTCAGACACCAAGAAGTGAAGGAGAGCTCTTACCTTCTCCAACACTAAAGGCCTTTACATTCAACGATCTCAAAACCGCCACTAGAAACTTCAAATCCAACAGTCTTATCGGTGAAGGCGGTTTTGGTTATGTCTATAAAGGTTGGATCGGTGAACAGTCTTTGTCACCTTCGAAACCAGGGTCTGGTATGGTTGTTGCAGTCAAGAAACTTAAATTAGAAGGGTTTCAAGGACACAAAGAGTGGTTGGTAAGTTCATTTTCTTTAATGGATAAACTATAGCTAATGTCCAAACATTTATGCTTTATGGACTTTTTTTTTTTAAATTCAAATTCAATAGACAATAGATGGATGGTTCATGCCCCTTATATGTGGGATTAATTCTTATACAAATAAAGTATAATAAAAATGATGATGGGTTTCAGACTGAGGTTCACTATCTTGGGAGGCTTCATCATATGAATCTTGTGAAGCTAATTGGATATTGCTTAGAGGGAGAGAAGCGGCTTTTGGTTTATGAGTACATGCCCAAAGGAAGCCTCGAGAATCATTTGTTTAGAAGTGAGTAACTCCGTTTGGATGGATCTAATAATTATATTCAAGTTATGCTGAAATTTATATTCCTTGGTGTTCTTCTTGTTTGTGTGTGTAGGAGGCGCAGATCCAATTCCGTGGAAGACAAGGATGAAAGTTGCGATCAGTGCAGCGAGAGGACTTGCTTTCCTCCACGAAGCTAAAGTCATATACCGAGACTTCAAGGCCTCTAATATTCTCCTTGATGCGGTACACATCCTATACATATTATTGTATCTCTGACTACTCCTGAAGTTTGTTCATAAACCAAATGTTCTTACCACTTAAAAAGACGTGATAAGATTAATATATATATATATATATATATATATATATATATATATATATATATAGGAAAATGTTCTCCAAGTATTGAACTTAATTTTGTTGTAAATGCAGGAGTTCAATGCAAAGCTATCTGATTTTGGATTGGCAAAGGCAGGACCAACAGGAGATAGAACCCATGTGACGACTCAAGTGATGGGCACACAAGGCTACGCAGCTCCTGAATATATAGCAACGGGCCGGTTAACTGCCAAGAGCGATGTCTATAGCTTTGGAGTGGTGCTGCTCGAACTACTCTCGGGACGTCCCACGGTAGACAAATCGAAAGTAGGAGTGGAACAGAATCTGGTGGATTGGGCAATACCTTATTTGGTGGACAGAAGAAAAGTGTTTAGAATAATGGACACGAAGCTTGGAGGACAGTATCCTCACAAAGGGGCTTGCGCAGCAGCCAACATCGCGTTAAGGTGTCTAAACACTGAAGCTAAGCTAAGACCGGAGATGTCTGATATCTTGTCTACTTTAGAACAGCTTGAGACTTTGAAAAAGACGGGCTCTACTCCAAATGCAATCATGTCTCCTTCATCTCTGTCGGAGAATCGTAGGAGATCTCTGCGTTTAAGTTAAAAAGAAGAAGGAGATTTAGCGACCCTTTTTGAGTCTGTTATTTATACTTTTGCAAAGTGTGTTGAATAGTTTTGTAGTTTCTTTTGCGATCATAGGCTTCCTAGTTGAAAATGTAGACGTATATATATGGAAAATTTGATAATAGGATTTATATGATCGATGGACATTTATGATTTATATGATCGATGGACATTTATGACTTACATTAGTTACCAATATATGTAATTATGTATAGCAGAGCTATGCTTAACGGTAGGAAGTCCAAACCCGAGTTCATATACATTTCCTAAAGTAAACAACCAATAAATGTAATAAAATTAAACCTTATATTTCTTCTCCTTGTCTTTGATATGAAGGAACTTGGACCAAACTCGGAAAATAGGTACGATGAAGACAATGATTCTTAGCCACGGCTTCTATCTGAATTCTTTTAGACTGTCCCTTTACAATGTAGATGCAAATATTCCCATTATAATCCTCACAACACAATACGAGACTGAGAGTTTTCTCGTCGATGAAGTAACTTCTCTGATAGAAAAGGGACATGCATCTTAAATCCGACGAGTAAGGAACTGACACATTCATGAACATCATCCACTCCACACTCTCTCCATCCTTATTCTCAATCTTCTTTTTTGTCACCCAAATCTCTATATTCTTTGTTTCATAGCACTGATGTAAATAAGAAAATCGATCTCGCCTAAAAACCTCGAGGGATCTACTATCGAGGGTTTTAATGCTCTTGTCAGGCAATACACAAAAAATTTCGTTGAATTTCTCCGTAGAAAAATCAAAACTAGTGATGACATATTCACGAGACATGAAATTACGAGCGATCCAATACAAAGTTCCATTCAAGGATACACTATAATCCCTAAACATAAAATCTTCGGATACCAACTCGTGAGACTTCCATGCACTTGATCCAAACTCGCTAATCCAAGCTTTCCCGGTAAGACCTGGTGACGCAAAAATCTTGTAACCTATCCCATTGAAATAAGTTCTTTCAGTCATGTTGATCCATCTAGCCTGTTTCAACCACGGGTTGCGAACCGCCAGCCCCTGACTCGGGACAGCACAAAGCAATAACCCATCGCAAAAATTGACTGAGAAACCCTCTGAATGTCTATAACCTGTAATATCTACTGGTACCTTACACACCTCTATCAATGGACAACCGTCGAGAATGACATCTACCGAACAAATCATTGATTCGGAAGACAATATGAATTGTGGACGGCTGGCACGAGCCAGTTGGTTTTTGGCGAATCTCTTCTCTTCGAAAAGAGCTTTCCACCGTTTGCAAAAGGTTCTGAAACGAATAAGAGATTTAACTGGAACCCAAGAGAGTATCTCTTCCACCAAATCCCATGGAAGAAGCATCTCCGAAGCCACCATTATGGTCTTTCGTTTAGCAGAAAAGTAAGAAACCATTATGGTCTTTTGTTTTGAAAAGTTTAGGGTTTATTTTTTTTGTGACGACGGAAAAGGTTAGGTTTATACTATAGTTTAGATGTGTGATGGGGTTTATAGTTGATAGACCAAGTCCGTTTGTATTTCTTTTAATCAGACTTCGAATATTATGCTTGAAACTCGGTCAAGTAGGATTAAGGCCCATTAATTAGTTTCTTTCAACGGCTTAAAGAAATTTGATTTTAGCACTTTTTGTAATAAATCACTTAAGCTAGCTAATTTAGTTGTATCTTAATTTATTGCTTGAGATACTTGAGGCAACATGTATGAATATACAGTTTTATCATCAATAGAAGTATAGTACAACGTTAGGTTAATTTAGATCATGTATGAATTTTGGGTAGCGTTTTTCTTTGGTAAACGAATATTGGGTAGAGTTGATCCGGCTACTCCTTAGATCATACTTTTTTTTTAGTCAAATTTAGGATTACACACATTACAAAAGCACAAATATAATTCCCGATCTCGATACGCTATACGTAAATAGTAATTAATGGGGGCTACTCCAATGTTGACAAAATTGATATAAATTTTAATAGATTGATCAAGGTACTAGTAAATTAGTAACTGACTGAAGAACCTGATGGAAAAAAAAAAGAAGAAGAAGCATTTACACAAGTGTAAATTAATTCAGTGTATTTTATATTTATTTCTTACCTTAATTCACGTGTATCCAACGCCATACAATTTTTACAAATAAAAGTTTGTCTTGTGAATTGAAAAATAGTACCGAATGAGTCCAGGAGTTCCCCCAAACACTTCAGTGGAATACATTTTGACTGAAAATGGTGTATCCAATGAAGTGCTCAGAGGAACTCTAGGAAACATCCGACCAAAATGAAGTTTGTTTGATATATTACATTATCAGTTTATTATTGTATGTTCTATTTCCGTGGAATGGGTACATTTGGTTTACTAGAGTAATTAAGGTTGGGTCTGAGAAACATAGAGGGATTGGCATTTCTATATATAGAGTTGGAAGCATTGTGAACCTAGACGTGAATTCAGGTTAAGGGGTTTAGGTGAGGGTATCAAATTTTCAAGAAAACTGCATAAATCAATTTTTCCTTTCAGCTTTTTGCAAGATAAGAAGGATCACATTTTTATACAACCATTACGCATTGATGCCAATGAAGGTACATGTACCTCACATACATGCAAAAGCACACATCAGTGCATAGCTTCTTTGGTTCCCATACATACTTCATATTTTCGGATATCTATTAATTATCAACACTTTTTTAACATTATGTTGATAATCCATCATAACATAATGTATTCTAATTATACGTTTATAGTAATGATAGATCGATAATCCTTTACTCATTTTATAGCGATTTGACACACACATATATATATGTCGCATGTAAGTTGCTGAATCAGCTAAAAATAAAGAGCCAAGTAGTGTTCATTTTGCTTCTTCCTAGTGAAATCTCTTTTAATGGATAATTCTATAAAAATTTATTGAAATCTTTTACAAATCAGTAAAGTAAAATTATAGATCCTGTGAAGAATGTGCTTCTGTAACAACCTGATGGAGATTTTATAGTCTCTAAGCTCCTTATATAGATATGTCGCTTGTAAGTTGCTAAATCAGCTAAATGTAAAGATTCAAGTGTTCATTTTGCTTCTTCCTAGGGAAATCTCTTTTATTGAAATCTGTTACAAATCAGTAGTTAAATCGAAATGCATCCATTGTTATACCAAAGTACAATACAATTATGGATCCTGTGAAGAATGTGCATCTGTAGCAAACTGATGGAGATTTTATATTTTCTAAGCTCCTTATTCCCCAAATTCTGACTTGGTTCATCTTCAATTCCCCTCATGTTTTATTTATAATGGAGAATATATAATTTATGGTCCCTCCCCTAGAAATTCCATAGCAACAAAAATGAAAAACATATCATGGAGAAGTAGATATATAAATATGCAGTTTGGGTTGTGACCAATGTCATTGAGTAAAAGAAGCAGCAAGCATTACCAAAAGATCTAGTTAGTATATAGAGTCAAATGTCCCCTTGAGTTCCCTTTAACGCTTCATTGTTCATACTTGGTTGTCTGATATCTACCGATAAATCAATCTAATGTACACTGAAGTGTTTGGGGGGGACTCTAGGTGGTATATTGGCACCGAAAGGTTAGATGAGTTATCGAGCTGTTTTGTAACCATCCCGGTGAGTTATACTTATTTGTGAGATCTTTTTCATGTAAAAGAAAATCAAATCACATATTGCTCTCATGAATGATTAAATTTCATTTTATAGTCGAACACACTGTTGTTTCATTGGAGATTTGACTCATTTGCTATAAATATTATGCTTTCAGAACATTTTCAGATCTATATTGCTATCATGATTGATCTAGTTTTGTTATGTAACCAATATCTTCAAACAGAACATACGTCATTATCCTCGACTTCATTATACACAAGCAGGAGTTAAAAGAGAGACTTGGCCGCGAGATCAAAGGCGTGGACCACGTTGATGCTCTTGATAAACAACAAGCCTTTCAAAATTATTAAATAGTTACATACACAACTTAAAAGCAAGATGTGTTATCACGGAAATGGATATAGAAAAATCTAGCCATTACATTACATTTCTACTGAATTGGGAAGACTAAATGTGACTGTCGTCTTTACCGATTTGATCACCATTACAGTCAGTCTTTCTTTTCCTTTTGTCTTTGTTGATACCGAGTATCACACAAATAGTTTTTATTGATGTTATAGCTGAGCTCAAGATGAGCTGCCTACGTACCCTTGAGAAGGGATCAAGCCATTCGTAGTTCATATTACAAAGAGAAAAAGAGGATGTATTCTAGGGTTTTCTGCGGAGTTATCCATGAATGAATCATTGAATGAACGAGGAGCTCTTTATTTATAGAGGTTGAAGCCGGTCGATTTTCCTTTTCCTTCTTGACTTGATAATGCAAATTTCCTTATTTCTTGGAGCAGATAAGAACAACTTCCTTTTTCCTTGAGGAATTATGTTCTGAGAATATTTCCTATTTCCGGGTAAGATCAGGAAATATTCTGCGGATGAACCATCACAAATCAGGATTAATTGGGCCAATTTTGGTTCATACCGGGCTAAACCGGGGGTGCGGAGTACACCACCAACAGTAAGCCCCCCCCCTCAGTCCGGCGAAAGAGTATATGTAAGAGTTCGGCGGATTTCGTAAGTACTTTTAGTCTGGTGTGAACCGAGATTGGTGGATTCTTGCGAAGCTGTTAGCTCGGCTTATATGAGTTTCGACTTAGTCTATTGCGAATTGCGATAATTCGGCTTACATTTGCGAGTGTTGTGAACTCGGCTTACGGTGCGAATCTGAGGTGTTCGGCTTAATTTGTGCGAGTTAAATGAACTCGGCCTGGGGGACCCAAGTGAGCTTTCTCGTGCTGGAAGAGTGAAGTTCGAACTCTTGTAAACACACGATACGGACTCAAGGTTTCCTAAGTCGAACCAGAGTGTGCGAGATGGGCTCGGCTTATTGTTCTCGGTGATTTAGGAATAAGTAATGCGGGACTGGCCCCGGCTTTAAAAATTGTGGATTCTTTCACCACGGCGCCATGTGGACGCTTGCGAGACGGATCTCGGCTTTTTGAGGTTGCATTGTTGAGAAATGCTATCGAACAACTGGCCAGGAAGTCGATGTAATACCGATGAGTTCGGTCGGGACTGCGAACATGTTAGTTCGGCTTGGAGGGACGGACCCTGAATTTCAAAGGAGCTCGGTTGACAAGCTTGAAAATATAGATGAGCGTAGTGTAGCTCGGTAGAAATGTATTTTGCAGATGATCGGTTTGAAAATTCAGGCTGACGGGTTAAGGGTAACAGACTGAATCTGTCTAGCTGAAAAACTGAACCACTCTGACGAACTGAATTTCTGAACAAAATCTGATCTGTGGACTGAATATGAGGTGCTGAAGTTCTGAGTCGAACTAAAACTCTGAACCAAAACTGAGATTCTGAAATTCTGAATAAAAACCGACGAACTAAAGCTGTCAAATCTGAACCGAACTGATAGTGACGAACTAAAAGTGACGAACTGAAGTTGTTGACGAGCTGAAACCTAACACACAGACTGAATGCTGATGAGCTGAAACTAAGGAATTGAACCTGTCTGAACTGATACTGACGAACTCAAACTGACGATCATGTCAATAATAGTTTTGTTCGGAAATGTGTTGAAATGTGAGCTTAAGTGGGAGCTTGGAGCTCGTTTTAGAAACGACTTTAGAGAAGCGTGAGTTACGTGGGAGCTCCAAGCTTGTCTATGGAGAGCTTCAGAGAATCGTTCTCTTTTCTTTTCTTTTTGCGAACAGAAGTTCGGCTTGACTTGAGGGACGGACCCTGTAACTTAGCAGAATGGAGAATATTTTTGAATAAGACAAAGATCTCGATAAATGATACCTGGGTTTCGAGGAGCTCAGTTTGACGAGCTAAGTATAGCTTTGAGAGATTGGTAAGTAACTTTGGATGTGAGCGGAAGCGGAACGAGATCGGTGAAAACAAAATTGGAATGAGTTCGGTGAGTATCCTTCTATGGAGAGCTCCATGCGGTTGTCTGCTTATAGCCTTGTCAAAGCAAACAGATTCTTGACTATATGTCGTTATAATGGCATTCGTGCACCAAATCGTCCTAGCCGGAGCTGATACTTTTGTAATCCTGCGACATTGTAATGAAGGCTTGTGAAGACATTTTTCTTAGATTTTGGATCATAGTACTTTAGCAGATAAAATGATACTTAGCTTTTGGTGTGGGATTGTGGAGCTCGGCTCTTTGATGTTCAACCCTTGTTAGAGCGAAGATTGGTTTTTAGATTCTGGTAAAGAGCTGGTGAAGCGGTGCGGCGAGCTGAGATGGTGATGGTATCGGCTGGAATAAATCTTCTTAATCTCAGTGAAGTATTTCTGGGA